GATGGTGCATTTGAGGATAAAAACACAACGTCACCTGAAGGTCAAATCGAGAAGAACAATGAGGATGAGGACAATGATGTTGACAGTCTTTTGGTGGTTGGTAATGCTTTCTCTCGTCAGTTTTATTCCCCTTTATCTGAATCTCGTTATTCTAATATCTTTTCCCAAATGAAATTCTGACCTGAGAGAACCATTGTTGGTGAACACTTTGAAACTTGGTTTGGTTGAACTTTTGAAAAAGATGAGTTTAGAAAGCTCTGTGATGTCTGTGGGAAAGCATTGACCCAAGTTGGTTGGTGAATTTTATTCAAACCTTTCTACTTCTGTCGATCCTAAGTCTATGAAGTTTCAAAAGGTGTTGTTTGGAACAGTATTGTTTTGTTTTCTTTGTCTGTTATAAACTCTGTTTCGGGATTGGCTGAAAGTTCATTTGTACCGCCCTTGTTTGATGACCTTGATGAAGTTGCAGTCACACTGACTGGTGGACAACTGAGCAAATGGCTTTCACCTGGTCTTTTTGTGAAAAGCCTTACTCCTCAGGCCAATGCATTACAGATAATTGGCTCCTCGAATTGGACACCCACCTCGCACAAGCAATTTGTGACGCCTATTCAAGAAAGGGTTATTTTTCGTATTCTTAATGGTGTTCTGTTCGACCTGGGTTGGTTATTTCTTACACCATTATGTCATTTGTTGAGATCTCCAAGCCTCACAAGCTACTGCTCTTTCCGTCTACCCATCAATGCTATTCTGATCAAGGCATGGATCGAGATGGATCCACGTGTGGGTGACAACCTCTCTCCTACTCTGAAACCCATTTCTCTTGCCGGAGTAAAGTCTGCTCCTCACCTCCCATCAGTGGTTAAGGCGTCTGATGTCCCTTCTCAACTTCATGGGTTTCTTAATCAACAAGTAGCGGTTCTTACTGGACTTGAGAAGAAGCTGATTGGTCAACGCCGATATTACAAGGAGTTTCTTGGTGCGATGAAGACACGTGCCCCCTTGCCATCTAAATCGAAAAAGGGGGAGAATAAAAAGATGACTGAGAATAAGGGGGAGAAACTAAAAGGAGGATCCAAGGGATCAAAGGCAAAAGGGAAGGAATATGATGTTGAAGCCAAGGGTAAGGAAAAAGTCATTGAGTTTGAAGGTTCTGATGCTGCAGAAGAGGAGGAGGTTGAGTCAGATGAAGAGGAAGAGGCTAGTTCGGAGGAGGACACTGATGCTGGGTCTGATGAAGGTTTGGAGAATGATGAAACAGAAGATGGTGAAGAGTCTGCTTAGACTCTCTGACTGGACATTCAATTATGTTCTGTTTAAACTAAAATTATTTGAATTGCTCTATGTTTTTTAACTCTTTTTGTGTGTGGTTGTTTTGGGTTCCCTAGGATATTCTCCTTGGTGATGTGAACTTTTTTTTTATTCTATTTTCTCTCTAATCGTTTAAGTGGTTCAGGTTATGAGGTTGTTTAAATGAACAACAAGTGATTATGTGCATATTCCAATCTGTTTTTCTTGGGTGTGAAATGCAGGTTCCTTGAGAAGGAAATAAAATATATACTTATTTTCATTTAAATTTCAAAATTTAAATTATTTAAAAAATTTCTAAAGTTAGTAAATTTGAAATGTTTATGTGAAATTTTACATACTATTTTAAGTAAATCCATAGCCTTATTATATAGTAACAAGTTTTTAACCCGTGCATTTGCACGGAAAGCAATATAATAGAATAAAAAATAATAAAAAGATATAAACAATAGTAAAAATCATAATATAATCATTGGAAAAATGTTCTAAGAAAGAATAACTAAATATTGTTAAACAATTCTTTATATACAACGTTTGTGGTTTTTCTATCAACAGAATTTTCATCACTACAAATCACTATCTTCAAATTAAGACATATAATGGTTTTATTTTTTTTAAATAATTATTGTCTTTTGTACTAATATTTGGACAAAATGGCAATTTTTGGGCCATAAAGAAATATATTGATTGAATGATGAAAAAAGCCCAAATTAGAAGTTCACTTAATTTTTTAGGATAGCCAGAGATAAACTCCTTGAGAGTGATGTAAGCCATTTTTTTTTGTTTGATGTCGGTGCTTCTCTCGTTATTCACTCTGTTTGAAACCCTAATCCTTAACCCGATCTTACGACAAACTCGGCGAGATTCAATACAAAACAAATGATTTACCGGAGATTTTCTCCCGGTAAAGGCTTAAAAAATTAAAAAAACCTTTGAGAAATGTTGTTTTTGTGGCCAACAGTAGTGATCGAAAAAAAAATATTCGTCCCGATTTCTTAATCTGTGTTGCTAAATCTTAACAGGTTGGAAGTTTCTAACAGATTTGTTCAGCTCTACTAACAAATATATAGGTAAGTTTATAAAATATCTGTTTATAACATATGTATGTAACTTTTATGTATTTTGTTCAGATTTTGAACACTAAATAGTTCAATTCTTTCTCGTCTTTCTCATCATATCAGTAAGTGGAGCTTTGCTAACACTTGTTCAAAATCGCTTTTCAAAGTTGTTCAAAGTCTTTTGCCGAAGTTTTTCAAGGTTTTTAGTATTTTGTTCAAAATTTAGAAATATTAGGTAAATTTATAACAAATCTGTTTAAATATATTTATCGCATATTAGGAATTTCTTGTTTAATGTTTAAAAGAATCTGTAGAAATTTTTATTTTTAAAACTTTTATGCAAAAAATCGATTTTAATATAAAGGCAGATGTCTTGGTGAAAGTTGAATGTGTTGATAATGATAGGGAAATCAAATTATTTTTCTTTTGATATTGTATAGTGTCCAATAATGTTCCACACACTTTGCTGTGTTTTTAATTTTGATTTTTTCATATAGATTTGACTTTTTTTTGTTGATTATTAATTATGTTCCACACACTTTGCCAATTTTCGTTTAATATGACTTTTCTGTTGCTGAAAGTATGGTTTTTAATGCATTAAAATATTGATGTTTTGGATATGTTTTGATGCTATAATCATGCAGAAATTTGTCCCGCCACTTTTTTTCTTAAAGAGGAATTGTTTAATGAAAATTAATCATATTTATATTTATAATTGTGAAATAATATTTTTTTTCACGGCCAACAGTTTTTTTTTTCAATGAAAAATATGAGACAATTTATTCAGCATACTTTTTAATTTATAAAACAAAATGTTGGTTGCTATAATCAAATCTGCAGAAATCATACATTTTATTGAATAGTAGTAAATAAAATATTTTATTATTACTACCAAATAGAAAGTCAAAGATAGTTAATTTTTCACTATTAATTATGATCATATGGATTTTTTTTATACATATGTTTTTTCAATGAACTTTTTAAATGATAATATTGACAATATCTTTGTTATAATAATTATAGACTGTGCTATAATAATAATTTATTTCTTTAATTCATTAATTTTTTTAAATTCAACTTATTATGCGTATAGTCTAAGTTTATAAATTATATGTCATTTAAATGTATCTATACTACTAATTTATAAGGTTTTACCATTTGGGCAAGCTAATTTTTTAATTTTAATTATGAAACTAATCTTTCTTATCATTTTGCAGCTATATGTTTGATGGAGTATGGCTGGAAATTAAATTACAAAAAAAATAATTTCATTTTTTATATTGTGATGTAACATGATCTGTATTACAATGTTTGTATTTAATACATTTATTAATATTTTTTTATAACTTTAATTGCTTATTCAATTAATAATGGAATAAAAAAATAATAATATATAGTTTCTGCACAACAATAATGACTGTCACGTTTATATATATAAATTAGAATAAGAAACATAAATGTGAGATTAACTAAAAGAAACCTTCTTAATTTAGCCATTAACTAATTAGATTTAATTAAAAGAAACCTTCTTAAATATAAGATTAGTGAGTAATTAATTAAAAAAATATAACTTCTTTTGGAGGAAAAGTGAAAATGTTAATTCAATGTTTTATTAAATGGGATTAGCTAGTAATTATATCTATATAGACTAATACGTAACTCGCACGATACGCGGGACAATAATTATAATCTGTTTGTATAAAAGAAATGAAATAGTGATTAGTATAGAAATGATTTTGAATAATAATATTAATTTTTCTTTTTTTTTTAATTTATGATATATAATAATATAATATATGATTGATATATTTATTTCATTGGTTATAAAATAGTTTTCAGTTAATAAAAATTTAACGTATTTAAACATCATCAACAAATATTATTCATAAAATCTCTCTATTTCTCTTCTCAACCTACACTCTACTATAATATATTATATCGTTTTTTAAATAAATTATGCTAAATTGAACGTTGTGTCCAAATTTTATTATTTATAATATATTATATCGATTTTTATTTATTATAATATATTATATTGATTTTTAAATAAATTATGCTAAATTGGATGTTGTGTCCCACCTATTTATATCATCCACCAAACTCGTTCAAAATTGGACTGACGTGTCATGGCCATCTTGCACATCCAAATCTCATCATTCCACGTTTTCCAAGAAAATTTAGTACCAAAAACTTTTACTATAAAATATTATAGTAAATAAATACTCTAATTACGAAAACTAAAGAAATTATTACGATGGAGACCAATGGTAACATTTGTTATTTGTTTTAGCAGGAAAGCAAAAAAATGTGTGATTAGGAATAACTTTTTTTTTTTTAACTTTTTTAATCATTTTCAAATAAAAATAAATAAGAAAAGTAAAATTTTTTTCAGACAACATAATATTAGAAATTATAAAGGAGTATGATATGAAAGTATAATAATTACAGTTTATGTAATATATTACAAATAAAACATATATACATATATAATATGTAAAAGTGAGAAAAGTATTTTTTTAAAAATATATATATGATATGTAATATAACTTTTAAATTGTTTCTGTAAAATTATGGAGATAAATTAAAATAGTATGAAATTATTATTATTATTACTATTTTTATTTTTGTTGTTGTTGTTCTTGCAATCAAATCATTAAGAAGTATTTTTATAAACAAGTTTCCTCCCTTCTATAAATCATTAGCAAGTCTGATTTGTTTTTCTCACTGTGCCCCCAGAACGCTCTAGCGAAGCTTACAATCACAATCACCGCATGCAAATTGCAATGTTCTGTTGAGTTGTGTTTTCGAATCTAAGAGACATCTTGATGTAATATTTCTATAATTTCTCAATTGTTTTCGTGGGGCAGCAATTATTAGCGTGTGTTTTGTGTCTTCGTATTTGTATGCGGGCACAATCGAATAACGCACAAGGGAATATGCTGTCCAAGCTACTGTATTTCAACGCGCACCTAATGGCGGTATCCTGCTTGTACGAGTGTTCTTCGCATGTGGGTATGTTCCATTTTTTATTTTTTCGAATTTTCGAATTAATAGCTTTTCTTAGCTGGATATAATTTTTTTCCGAATGGTACACAATTTTTCAACTGATGCTGATTATGGTAGAATTTGATGGTTGATTCTTTTGCCCTCTATGGATTCAGTTTCTCTTGTTTTNCCAAGCATATTGACCCTTCTGAAAGTTTTGATCTTTGTTCTATTTCTTGATCTGGGGTGACATTGGAATTGACATTTTGTGGTATCAAATAAATGCCAGGAGGTGGAAAACGGGGAGATTTCAATTTCTTGATCCGACTAGTGTAGGCACATTAAACTTTATGTGGTTGTTGAGTTTGGAGTTCCCATTCTGCCGATATTGTAAAGTGTTGTTTGTTAGGAGATCGCAATACTATACATTTTTTTTTTCCCATAATTTTCTCAATATGCAAGCTGTGGGGAGACTAGGTAGCTACATTAGTAAAAGCGTATACTCAGTGTCAGGCCCTTTTCACCCATTTGGTGGTGCAGTTGATATTATCGTAGTAGAGCAGCCAGACGGGACCTACAAATCCTCCCCTTGGTACGTCCGCTTTGGGAAATTTCAAGGTGTACTGAAAACAAAAGAGAAGGTGGTCAGCATTAACGTTAATGGGGCTGAGGCGAAGTTTCACATGTACTTGAATCATAAAGGGGAGGCTTATTTCTTGAAGGAAGTTGATGAAGAAGAAAATGATGGCGGGGGTCCAGTGTGCTCACCTCCATCCTCATCCGGTGAGGACATGGAAAGAAGCATGAATAGGAGGCCGTTGGAAACGATAAATTACAATTGCGACCCTAAGTGGTCTGAAAACGAAAAAGATGCAGTGATCAAGATGCATTCTCGGCCATCTCAGATTTTGGGTTTTGTTTTCGGCAGAAAACCAGCAAAAGGTGAAGAAAATGAATCTGGGGCTGTCAGGGCAGACTCTTTGGAACGAGCCGAGATTGCAGCAGATTTACTTGACTTGAAGTGGTCGACCAATCTTGATTCTCCTAGGCTCAAGAAAGGTGATAATAGTTGTAACAATAACAATAATGCTTCACGGGTTCCGACTGATATATCAAGAGATGGAGTGGATAGAAATTCGCTGGTTGATGATTCTCGTATTGGGGAAAATATGACCGAAATGAAATGTGTTATTGAAAAGTATGTTGTTGAAACAATGACTTCAGTTGAAAATTCGGAGAGTGATGAAACAGGCTTCTCTAGATCAGAATATAATGCTAGTCCAGCTAATGTAATCTCAGAGGTTGCACAGATTCAAGATTCTGTTGAGAAGGGTAAAGGGGATACTCAGTTTACTTTGGTTTGTGAAGAGAGGCTGTGTACAAGTGGAGGAAGTACGTATACTGCTTCAGAAACTATCATCGCTGAATATTCTGAATCAGTTTCAATTCACGAAGCTAATAAAAAAGTTGTATCACAAGGTGATGAAGTAAATGTGTGTGGATCCCCTGAAGAGCCTCCTTGTAAACCCCAGAGTTTGATCTGTGATAATCGAGAACCCGGAATCTCAGAGGAAGAGCAGCTGGTCTTTGGTAATCTAGATGATTTTGGCTTGGCTGATGTTAGAGTGGATTCCTCAATTTCATCAAGGGATGATGATGGTTTTATTGAGTCATGTAATGCAAAATGTTTGTCATTGGACCAATCTGTTATAGACAACTATATTGACGATGTTGATCCACAAAGAATAGGGTTAAGATCAGTATCTAGCGAGTCTTGCATAAAGGAAACTGGCAATGTTCATTCCAAAGCTGTCAAAAGACTAGTGAGGTCATTGCCGATTACAGGACCTCTCAGTGATAAGCTTGAGATAAGTGATGAGCGACAATCACCTGGTGTTCAGACGTATGGTAGTGTTGCAGTTATACAAGATATGAAAGAGGGACATGATAACCCGGTAACCGGTAAGAGAAATTATTTAATTTGGTAGTAATCTTGATTTATTATGTTACTGTAGTTGGTAAATTGCTTAGTCAGGTGTGGCATCTGATTATCATATGGAAAAAATCCTACACCTGCTAACTCTGATGTATTATGAATCAGTTACCGATATCATATGTTGGGTCCTTTTTTTTTCTTTTTTTTTTTCAAATAAGGTTCTCTTCTTTTTGGTTTTGCCATACCAATCGATAATATTTGTGTTCAATGTCAGAAATAACCAAAAGGTCGCAACTATTTTCTTCTCACCACTGGGATAATCCTTTGAATTCCATGTCCAGTTTAGTTTGTGTGTGTTAATTAACAACTCTTTCATCCTGTGCTTCCTTGTTTATTTTCAAGCGTGGCTTCCAGCAGAAGAAAAGCAAGCCCTTTAAAATCATGCTTCGACTTCGAGTACTAATATTTTATCATATTTATCTTTGATGGTACATGAAATATTTTACTCAGACATTGCTGAAATTTAAATTTCCACTCATGCTTACAACTTAATGTGGTTATCCTTTCATGTCATGAAACAAATTTGTTATGTTCCATTATATCTGAGGCTAAAAGGATTTTGGGATGCTGATAGTTGGAAAATTTTCAGGTACTCCTCCTAGGCCAATTGATTCTTCAAATGGATCCCAGAGAACTTGGCCATTCCCTTTTAAGAGATCAAAAAGCATGAAAAGTACTCGTGTGGAGACAAATGCCATTGAAAACCATAATTTGGTGGAGGTCCTAAGGAACTCTGCAAATTCAGAAGGGAAGGAAGATGTGACCGAAGTAAAGGAAAGAAAGAGAACATTTATGCGAACACTTACTCCAACATCTGAACAGCTGGCATCCTTAAGTTTGAAAGAAGGAAAGAATATAGTGGTATTCACCTTCCAAACCACTATGCTAGGCAAGCAACAGGTTGTTCTCATTTTCATTGTTTCATGAGAACTCAGATTATAGCTAGTTTATCTGTGGATGGCCTTTGTTTGTTTTTCACCTCATGAGTGTCTCCAACAATCCATCAAGTAAGATGGTGAGGAGGCTTGAAGTTTGTATTTGAAAGACAAGCGAAACTCTTTTTCCTTATTCTGTTTTCTTTTTTTTCTTCTTTCATTGATTGTTGAAACATTAGGATTAGTTGTTGTAATGTACTCTTTTTGTTTTGTGCATATGCTTCTGAACTGATATAAGGTTTTCACATCAAGGTTGATGCCCGGATTTTTCTTTGGAGATGGGACACTCGAATTGTCATCTCTGATGTTGATGGGACAATTACACGGTAAAAATTGTCTTGATTTCTCTACAATCATTTAAATGAATGGGTGGATTTCACCTATCTCAGGGGCACTTCCCCCAAGTGATTGAGCTATTTGTTGGAAGTTGGTGTAAATTTCTTGTGATGTTTGGTTTATGACCATTGAAATATACTAGAAATATCTTTTGCTCCATATTGATATGTTTTTCTGCTCTTTAGGTCTGATCTTCTAGGTCAAGTTATGCCTTTGGTTGGTATGGACTGGTCACAGACGGGTGTTGCCCATCTGTTCTCAGCAATTAAGGTTTGTTAATCTTCGAGTATGTTGATAGTTGAATCAACTTCTTTATCATTTCAGTTTTGTATGTTTTTCTAGTGAATATATTTTATGAGGACATCAGTTTGGGCAGTGTTTTTGGTCTAGTAAATTGATAGTTGAAATCAACTTTTTTATCATTTCAATTCTGTATGTTTTTCGAGTGAATATATTTTACGAGGACATCAGTCTGGGCAGTGTTTTTGGTCTAGTAAATTGTCAATATGGTCTAGTCCCAAACTTGATTTTAATATTTGATAGAATTTATATGAAGGGTTTTGTAAGAAGTAAAGAATCAGGAAATGAATCTATGGGGAACAAACATAACTTCTAACAAATTCATTGCCATCTTCTCATTGTGATTTCAGCTTTTCAATTTGAACTTGTTTGGCTCACTTTTTGTTCTTTAGAGCTTAACGTTATGACAAGATGAGATTTGAAATCCAAAAACTTAATTTGACTTCCATGAATTGAAAGGTACAACTTTTATGCCAGTAGAGCTTTTTTCGGCATGTTGTATCAATGTATAATTTTTTTATTATAGTGAAGTGATTTACTTGATCTTTAAATCAGTGAGACAAATCCAAATTTTATGAAAAGATAAAATTGATTAGTGAACCATATGAATTTTATACCGTGAGGGCAATAATCTTTTACTACACACAAGATCGTTGATGCTTTGTACTTTATGTGGTGCAGGAGAATGGATATCAGTTACTTTTCCTAAGTGCACGTTCAATTGCTCAGTCCTTCCTTACACGGCAATTCCTTTTGAACATTAAACAGGTATATTTTCATTAGTATTGGAAGTACTATAGCCTAAACTGTACTCTAAACACTTGTTCTCGTTTCATTTTATCTAAGTTCGGTATTTACTGTGAAACACATTTGCAGTGGAGAAGTCTTCATTTTGCTTGATTGAAATTGGAAAAAAAGTGTTTCATTCTCTTGATATATCTCACGTTTTTCTTGATTGAAATTGAAAAAAAAAATAAACGTCTGATTCTCTTGATATATCTCAGATATTTTTCATTTTTGTTCTTATGCAATGCCCTTTAATTGAGTTCATTGCTCTTTTAGGATGGAAAAGCCCTACCTGATGGACCTGTCGTAATTTCCCCTGACGGCCTCTTTCCTTCTCTATTTCGCGAAGGTCAGTTATTGCTCCCTTGTTTGTTACTTATTGGTCGACTAGAAAAGCCATCATTTCTAGAAAGTGAAAGTTCTCTGGTTTTGTTTTATGACAGTTCATTATTGGGCAAGCAGAACTGAACTTTGTATTTTTTTTTTCTCATACCTTTTGGATAGATATTTTTCTGAAATTTTCCATTCACAGTTATTTTTAGGATATGTCTCTTAGCTTTGCTTTTGCAGTGGTTCGAAGAGCTCCGCACGAATTCAAGATTGCTTGCTTGGAGGTTCGTTGCCTGGTTGTTCATTTCATCTTCCATCTCATCTGTTTTTCTGTCCTTTACACTCCCCTGCTATGGTAGTGTCATATTGATACTTAAATATTTTATTTTTCTTAATAATCCTTGTTGGATGTAGTTTTACTTTATTTTCTTTTTATTGTAATTGTGAGTGAGTTAGTTTCTGCAGGATAATTATTTGGCTTATAGATGAGTATGAGTTGATAAATAATTAAATATAATTGGTCTTAAGCTCCTGAATTTTTCATGAGGCCACATAATAGAAATGAATAGGATTTTATTATAGAAGAGGCTTTAAAGAAAATTCTATTTTCTGATATTAGGACTTAATCACCATTTTGGACTTTAGCAATTAAAGACACCAAATTAATCATTCTTGCAAATTGGATTACATCTCAAATTTCCTGCGATTGAATAATGTCATAGAAGATTAGTAGTCTGTTTAACTAGTTGTTTTTTGAAGCCAAGAAGAACACCTGTGGTTAAATTTGAAATGAGAATCAGCCCCTCAAAAATATATTATTTTCCCATTAGCCAATGTGTACCTTTGCCTCTGAGGAACACACACACACACACACACACACACACACAAAAAGTAAACATGTTTTCGTTAACCAATCTAATTCCCTAGGAAGTAACTAGTTAGTTAGTGTTTCTGTTGACTTTTGCAGGACATAAAGGCCCTATTTCCTGCCGATACAAATCCATTTTATGCTGGTTTTGGAAACAGAGACACGGATGAGTTTAGCTATCTTAAGGTGGGGATCCCACGCGGAAAAATATTCATCATAAATCCAAAGGTACTAAGAGAAACATTATTTCAGATTATACATACATTTTGTATGATTTTTGTTAAACTTGTTTGAGGATATCATATTGACAGGGTGAGATTGTTGTAAACCGGCGTGTGGACACCAAATCGTATGTGTCCCTTCATTCCCTTGTACACGGGATGTTTCCCACTATGTCATCTTCTGAACAGGTTTATTTCACATTTTCGAAAATTATACTCCCTCCTATTCATAATATATGTCGTTCTGAGAAGTTGCACAGTATTTAAGAATCTTTGTTTTGCCAATATAACCTTCTGTAATAGGAAAATAGAGATGGATGTTTTGGGAAAAGATGAATAGTGAATATGAAAAGGGGGAGTGTATTTATTAGTTAAATGAGGGTAATAATGGAAAAATATGTACAAAAGATCCAAAACGTCATTTATTTGGTTAATAGTTGATAAAACTAAAATGACATTTAAAAAGAATAGGAGGTAGTATGTAATATGCTACTCCCTGCCTAAAATCGGTTTTTAGGATTTCTCCTTGTTTTGACATTTATGCAAAACCAATTTTACCAATCATTTCAAAACAGTGTACAAATATGGTAGTTTTTGGCTTTTACCTTTGTTTTGATATTTATGCAATCTTGATATTATGTGTTGTGGGCATTATTTAAACTCGTTGATTTTGATAGCAGGAAGATTTCAATTCATGGAATTACTGGAAACTTCCACCACCTATGATTGACTCTTGAAGGTGCTGCAAATGAAGTGCATGCAATCAGGACAGGAAATATCTTCCAAGGATTGGGAATGTTCAGGTATCTTTTGAGACGAGTACCATAATTATTTATCTCATTTCTTAGGTTACATTAATCTTCCATTGCATTATGAAGGTATGACTCAGCAGAAAATGGAATTATAATCGCATGTAAGAATCCATTGTCTTGAGATTACTAAAAGTTCAATGGATGTGTTAAACCCAAAATTTTCTTTCTCATGCAAAAAGAAATAAATGGTTAATGAATGTGATTCGAGGACTATGTCAAGAGTAAATGAATTCACTTTATGAAGAACTACAGACAAATAGGGCTATGTTTGGTACACAAATTAGCTACCTTATAGCTTATTTGGTTAGCTTATAAGCTCCCTGTTTTCAAATAAACTCCGTTTGTTAGGACGAGCTTTTTATAAAAGCTCGAGCTTATTTAAAAAGCTTCTTTGGGTAGCTTTTTACATAAGCTAGTTGAAATTTTTATTTCAGCTAGCTTATTAGCTAATTCTACCAAACATTTTTATCATATAAGCTAGCGTTTCAGCTATAAGTTATAAGTCATAAGCTATAAGCTATAAGCTATAAGCTACTATCAGCTAGTTTTACCAAACATAGCCTAGGTTTCTTGCTAGCACATGTGCACATTATTTTGTACAGTTATGTACAAGTGAAGCTCTCTTATATTTAAAAAAGAACAAGGATAAAAAAGTTACAATTTCTTTTTCTTTTAAAAAAAAAAAAATGAAATTCAGGGTGGCAGAACACACAACTTCATCCTCAAACACGAATACCACCTTTTGTTTATAAATGGCTCCTAGCCTTGTAAAAAATTCCCCAATACAATGGGATGGGTTATTTGCTTTCTGTCCCCACCGGCATCAAGTGGCACTCGCATTCATCTTTGTGTATGGCTCTTATTTCTATGGTATGTTTACACTTGGGCGGCTAGTTTATTTTTAGTGCCTTTTGGATCGATATGTATCGACAGTTGGAAGTTTGATTATTTGTCAATTTTGTCGAAAAAAAAAGATTATTTGTCAATTTTGGAAAATTGGTTGCTTGAAACTGTGTGTTTCGAAGTTCCCATGAAATTTCTTTACCTCAGATTTTGTAAGTTGTAGAACATATGTTCATTTCATATAAGGCTCTTGTTTCATGCACAATATCTTGTAAAGAAAAATTGTTCTCAAGAATTAGTGTTTTCTCTTCCTTTCATCTTTTGGTAATGTTTATCTGGCAGTTACGCAATTCATAGCAACTTGGATTAAAACACAGGGAAATTTTGACATTGTCGTTTTCCTGTGAAATTCATCGTTCTACAACAAGAAAATCTGTTGTAATGTAAGTCATCTCATATATGAACATGAGAGAAATAAATGTTGCAAGGTATTACAGACATATTTTACCCATTTATTAATCTCAACTATATTTATAAAAATTGAAAAGTACATGAAATTAATCTTAGTGGGCTAAAGACCATTAATTATTAGCGTAATGTCCATAAACCAGTTATTTGTGACATTCCATCATTGACATTGTCGCATTGTGTATGTCTTATTAAAAAAAATGGCTAAAATTCCTTCTTGGAGATGTTCAATCTACGAGTTGCAATAATACTAGGTTTTTAACCAACTTTTTTACTCAACTGTAATGCCCCGTTATTTTTAAGTGAAAAATATTGAATTAATTTTTCAAAAATCAGAGTTCATTTTTCGAAAACTAATTTAAAGGTTTATTTAACGGGCGCTATTCAAATTTCACATATCAACAGTTAAGTCCACACTTAACTAACAGGATACAACATCCCAAATCAAATCTCATCCCAACATTCAACATGTCTCGACAATCATTCAATCATATGAAATAATCCAATCAAAATTTCCACATGATAAAATATCCAATCATAATCAAATCCCAATTATCATCTTTCAAATGTCAAAGAAAACAGTCAAATACATAGTCTGAATCCCAAACGATAATAATAAATGAGCGGAAGCAGGTAAAACAGTTCAATAATAGATAAATGACCCCGCCTCGCTCGTCTTTCGACACAACCACCATCTCAACCTGAAAAGAGGGTTAATAGTGGGAGTGAGCGACCAACATGCTCACCGTAGGAATACCACACAGTATAATTAATATAAAGACTTAAAATAATAATCGCAGCATGTAAGCAAATCGCTTAGTCTACCCCCCTAACACAGCCTTACGCTCATGTGATCAAACCTAACCCGTGAATACAACAAAGACAGGAGCAAGCCGTCAATACAACAAAGACGGGAGCAAACCGTCGATACACCATCAACAGGAGCAAGCTTTCTAAAGGCTAGAGTTAGGAGAAGTTCCAACAACCGAGATACAACACCGGTTCTCATGTATACATAGATTATCAAGCCAAGCATTTATAGAAATTAACATACCTGGTAAGTTTATCAACACCCATCTGATCAGTTTAAGCAGATAAAACAGACAATCGGTTGCAGGTAGGCTAAGGCTCGACTCCTCAAACACCTACAATTTTATTCAAGATAATATTTCAAAAATGCTTATCTTGAAAATCAGGAATTCGAAACGAGAATTCATACTTAGTCGAAAAATCGTCGACTAAGTAGCTCGTGGAATTTTGTGGAATTTGGAACACTTGGTTTTGAAAGTTAGACTTAAAAAATTATTTAAAAACTTTGAAAATAGACTCGACACAAAAAAACAGGGTCAAATGGGTCAAAAGAAGTCAAATGGTTCGAGAAAAATTGAAAAACGGTTCGAAACAGCTCGGCACGGGTGCGGGTTGGCTCGCTGGCACGGGCCGGGCGCCGTCTGGTGTGGGAAGGGTGTTGCTGGCATGGGTCGGTCTCACCTGGGGCGCTGGGGCACGGGGCTGAAGACGCTGGGGTGCGGGCAGTGGCGCTGGGCACGGGAGTTGGTCGTTGGCCGTGGGTTGTGCGCACAGATAATGCACACGGGGCGACAAGGTGACGCGTTGGACGCGATATGCACGCAGGGTGTGCGGGGGCGCGGGTACAGAGACCCGAGAAACAGACAGGGTTTACAACTCAACCGAACCTTTTTGAGATTGGCTAGTGCGTTTCAAACAAAATTTGATCACATGATAGAGGACTCAAAAAGACACAAACTCACCAAAGGTTGGCCCTTAAAATTTATTTTAACCCAGAGAACTAATTTTTGCAAAATAGCAGTTAGAATCTGAAGTTCTCAGTTCTATAGGCTACATACCGAATTTACCTTTGAAATTTTAACACAACAACAGACATGACAAAAGACCATAAACCTCAAAAATTCAACACAAAAGGACGAGCCATTGATTTTATACCAAGTTTATCAAGAAACAGGCCAAAACAACAAGTCAACAGATCGCATGGCTACAGATCAAATTTCCATTTGAAATTTTTACACAAGGACACTAATCAACATTGGAGGTGACCCTAAAAAATTCATGCAATTTGGCCGAGTCAATAACTTTATATAATCCATTTTCAGAGACTAGATCAACTTCAGAAATCCATAAATGCTTCAAAACACATTGAAATCGTCCAAGGCCTTCACCATAAGGCCAAGGACACTCAAATGTTGCAGATTCCATAAGGTTTTCTCGAATTTCAATTGGATTTAAAGATTTCACCACAAATCCAAATAGATCACAACATAAAACAATTAATCTTAACCAAAACTAATCATATCACCAAGGATCCTCACAAATATCATGAAAACACATAAAAATCACAACCATCCTTACTGTTCACCACATGAGAGAGTACAAAAGAGGGCTGAAGGGCTCGAACAAGGCGCCTCGGTGGCTCTTCCTTGACTCGTGCTCAACTCCACTTATTCTTGTACAAAAGGCAACTACGGTGGCGCGTGTGGTGGTCGGGGTGCGCTAGCGGCGATTAGGGACGAAAATCGGGCTTGCCGGGGGTTATGAACCGAGGATGATCGAACAGCAGCTGGTTGGTCACCCGCGTGAAGGGGGAGGCGCTGCGGTGCACGACTTAGCAATGGCCTCGGTGGCTTGTGGTGCGCACCGAGAAGGGGTGTGGTCAAGAGGGGAGTAGCGATGTAACGCCCCGTTTTATTTTATAGAATTTACCGAATTTATTTAATGAAAATCAGAGTTATTTTTTTTTTTTAGAATCCAAGTTAAAACATATATCGAGAAACGGGCGCTACTTACTAACCACAACAAATAAACACACCCAATCAATCAATTCAATGAACCTACACATGCTTAAGCTATCAAAATAACAATCTCAAATAATCATAAATTTCAAAATCATTCCCATACGACTAGCATGAAATCAAGGTTCAAACGAAATTCAACATAGTTCAAGAATGACGAAATAAATAATCCAAAGTACGATAGTAAATAAATAAATAACAAGTTCATGCGGAAGCATAAGATTTCAACACATAATGACCACCATCTCGCTTGTCCTACGCCACCGCCTCCAGTTCGTCTCAACCTAGAACAAAGGAAGAGAGAAGACAACAAAGAAAATAATGGGGGTGAGCATAACCAACAAGCTCACCATTATCGCACAGTATATCTCGCATAACATTTTAAACCATCACAACCATAGTATCCAATATGCATAGAATTCAACAGTCTAACTCCCTACTTGGCCCTATCGCAAACCTCCTATATACATACAACAACCTTCCGACCAAACATCGGCAAGGCCGTAACTGGAAAATTTCCCCCACCCCGAACTACTCACGGATCATGGATGTTTTCCAGGAGACAGTGGAGATGTTTTTCCCCCCCGAAACTCACACGGATCAGGGCGTCTCCTCCCGGATACAACGGGCAGGTGACCTCTCACTGTTATGCATTCATCAAAGGCACTATCGTTCGGGACACTTAGACTAGAGTTCTCATGCATACAATAATTTTCGAAAGATAACATTACACGAAATAATGAGTGCGATAAATATGGAATACATCATAAATGTACCCACCTCATAGCAGCTACAGTTCAAATCACAAATCTCGAGATGAGGCGAGGTTCAACACCTCCCGACACCTACATTAAGTCCAGATACTAAAGTCAACACTTTAATCTAGACCCATGTAGCAAATTCACAAGTTGACTTAGCCGAACTCGGTTCGACCAAGTGGTTCGTGAAGTTCTGTGGATATGGGAACTCTAGGACTTAGACTCGATCAAACCACATATTCAAGTTCACATAAATGCAAGTGAAAGACAAACAAACGAGCCACAAGTAAACACATGGCACATTTGGTCATCAACACTTAACACATTTCAACATAGAAAAACAATTTCTCAAATTCACACTTGAATTAGAAGGCATATCAAATCAATGAGTTAGGTTCTGAAACGTTTACATAAAATTCACATCCCAGTTCTAAGAAACATAACCAAGTTTCAGCTTCCAACTCGTTGTACATAATTTTATAATATTCAAACAAGTTTTTCAACAAAAACGAGTTTGAATTAAAAGCACATGATAATGGACGATTCCAGCTATGAAATTTTTATCTAAAATACTACAGCATATGAACAGCATCACATAAATTTTCCAGCCTTCAACACTCAGGATATCAATTTATAAAAATTAAAACAACATTCATCCAAATATCGCAATTATATCAAAATTGGTCACAAATGAACTCCAAAAATTCCAGAAGTTTTACAGCATGCTAAACATCACATAATAAGCACTTATACAAATTTTCAGAATTTTTCAGCTCCAGAACAATTTATAATAATTAAAATAAATTTCGGGCAGAATCACAAAATAATTTGTTAACCCTATCAAACCTAGCTCAAAAATTCTAAACCTTTTACACAACATATAATCAAGCCTGAAACATAACATATTCGAAAATTGGCCAGAAAAGAACACTACACAATTAATTATGCATTTTACAAGAAACTGAACAGAAAACAAATTAATTTTTAAAAATAGATAAACACCTTTAAAAATCACGAAAATGTTACAGCAGCTACATATTCATCAAAAACAGCTGCTCCTAAATTTTCAAGGCAATTGGACTAGTATTCAGTTTATAGTGAATTTTACATTCAAAACAGACAATATAAACTTCGAAAAATCATAACGGCAAATATACACCTCCAATCGACACAAGGCCAACGCCATTGTGTTCGTAACAATACTAAGTTCCTAAATCCACAACAACTAATCACTTACGATG